TGGGAAGTTTATTCCCCCACTTATGGATCCAAATACAACCATAATATCACACCATGTCAAAACCCCTTATCAAACAACCATGAAGTCATATCAACGGTTAAGCCACAAATGGCAACATGTATGCAATCATCCACATAAACAAGGTTCATATCGATTATGGCAAGTCAATAATATCATACAGCAGTCCAGGGTTCATCATATAGCACAAAAGTTCATACACCCCTAATCATGCCATTCTAGTTCGCCTAGATCAATTCTAAGCATCAATATAATTATCGTGATACGACAAACCCGGTATGCCGTGCTAATCCCTCACCAGTTCTGGTCGTTCAAACACCGGTTTAACCTTCCCGTACTAAAACGTCAATTTCACGAACGAACCCCGAATTAAAATCCGAGACCGTCCTAATATCCCCTGCAGTATCCCCGTCAATATTAGTTCTAGGCGCCGGGTCAAATTCTTGATAAAAACACATCAAACCCTGGCCGGAGCTAAATTCAGCGGTTTGGACCCCGGCCTAAATAATAGCCGAAATTCAGGGATTAGAACTAGAGGATTGATTACCTCGCTGCAGGAAGCTCGTATATGAAATTTGGGCACAATCCGGCTTCCGGATACTCCGAAACCCTAATTTGGCTTATCGAGAATTCAAGAAATTCCTGAACCAAAAACTCGTTTTAAAGCTCTAAATCGATAAATCACGATGTATGGATGAATTAGGCATTACTTACGGGATTTTTGGATCAGTGTAGCTCAATAATCGAGCTACGGAAATTTTTCCCCGGAGCTCTGCGTGCGGCTCTGCTTCTCCGCTTACTCTCGGTCCACAAAGAATGAAGAAGAATAAAATGGATGGGAATGTAATGGACGGCGGAATTAAATGATCGTGTATATATATATATATATATGGGGAGTTCTACGGTACCCCGGGTGAAATCCGGGGTACCGCATACCTTAAGTAAGAAAACGCTATCTAGAACTTGAATTGACTGATCTTTCGGACATTATACTATACTCTAACCCATAAAGATCAAAATCTAGGTCTTAATTCTCTAAATCTTATACCCCAAGAACAATTTAATTAGAAACAATAATCAACGGTTATGATTCGTCCAAATATAGGCAAAAAAAAGTAATACACCATCTTAGGGTTTTTAGTTTATGATTTAGATGATTAGGACCTATGGTTCACTCATTAAGGGTTAGGGTATAGTATCATGCCCAAAAATCCTGCTAATTCGAGGTCTAGATAGCGTTTTCATACTCAAGGTATGCGATACCCCAGATTTCACCCGGGGTACCGTAGAAGGCACTATATATATATATATATATATATTATATTATAATATATAATTATATATTATAATATAATATATATATATATAATTAATATGTATACTTATCCGATCGATCGATAATTCGATTTTCGTCAAAATAGTGTCGAAATGCTCGATTTTAAATCGTGAAATTTTCTAGCGAACGAAATACGATTTTAGCCGAAACGGGATGTTACACTAGGGTAAGACGGTTATGCGCCATCTGGCGAGTTTAGGTTATATTAGTGAATGGGGGCCTATAGTGGTCGAGGCGACCGAACCCCTACTATAGGTAGCCTTCCTAGATGAAACCCGAGATGAAACCTCGGTGTGGGCGGTGGATAGTGTCCATTGAATTGAGCCATAACCTTAGTGCCCCAAATACGATAGCCTAGATCAAGGTGACTGAAACATGGGTTTAGGGGAGGCGTACTCGGAGGCGTGTGGATAACGACAAAGCCCACAGAAAAGAGCTCACTCACCACATTAGATTAACCCTACATCACAACCTTAGCTAGGAGGATTCGACACTAAGCAACCATCTCGTCTCTAAAGTCCTCCCAACCACTTGGTTGGTTGTTTATTTTGCCTTAGGAGTAGGTTAATTTAGTTAAAACTCCTCACAAAACTTCCATCCCGATTAGATAGTAGTTCGGAGCGAAGTAATAATACACTTAGGGATCCCTCGGAATACGACCGAGCCACTTTACTACAACCCTAGCTAGGTTATACTTGGCTTAGTTAGGATTAAATAGAGAGTGTGGTTCGAGTTTACAAATTTAAAGCTTGATCGCGCACCCGAGGAGCGATCAAGTTTTTGGCGCCGTTGCCGGGGACTTCTTAAGTTATAAGGAAAAGCAGAGAGCTACTATTTGGTCATTTGTAGTGTGCCAAGTTTGGCATGGTGTTTTTGTGTTTTGTGTTTTTTAGCATTGAATTTTTGGTGAATTTTCCATCTGCTTTGTGCCTGTTATGTCGTATTTTATTTCCCGTATCTTTCTTTCTTTTGTTATGTTCCCTTTAGTTATCTTGTGTTAAGTGTTTGTTCATTTTTTTCTTTCTTTTCTTTTTACACTTGTGCTTTCATAGTTTTTTTTGTTTTTGTGAATATAGATAGTGTTTAGGTGTAGCTATGGATCCATCTTGGTGGAAAGAGGAGTGGAGAAATCACCAACTGACGAATTGGTGTCATCTTGAGACTTCTAGTAGTGGTTCTAGCCAAGGATCCGAGTGTGAAGAACCAACTCCTTTCTATGGTTATCAAGAAGACTTCCCCGATTATCAAGCTTTATCATCATATCACGAAGACTTCCTTCAACAATCGGAGCCCAAAAGCCTATTGGATCTTTTCGTGGAGCAATTCATCCAAAAACACCAAAGTTAGCTCCAATATGGAATCTTCAACAACTAACCCCATTGACTCATCCCTGCTAAGGACATCGGAGGAGACCCTCCAAACAATAGAGAGACTAGGAGAGGTTTTTGAGCAAGTATGTGCACAACTTGTGCAACACCTTAGGCAAATCCCACATCGACAAAGCACAACAGACATTCATGGTTCATCGGTAAGAAACTGGCCTTAACTGATAAGACGCGTTTTTGGGTGAAATGGAGGAGTTCTTGTGAGAACTCCGAAGTTAAACATGCTAAAGGTGGAGTACTATAAGGATGGGTGACCTTATGAGAAGTCACCTTGATATGCACCCCAAGGCAAATCCGTGCAGGTGAAGAGTCCCAAAGTGGACAGTATCTTGTCGGGAAAAGGTTCAGGATGTTATAAGTGGTATCAGAGCCTTTTTGCGTCCCTCTTGAATGATGGTGGGGCCAACCTCAATGACGACGTTGAGACCCAGGGGGTGTATGTAACACCTTAGGAAAATCCCACATCGACAAATCACGAGAGAGATTCATGGTTCTTAAGTAAGAAACTGGCCTTAACTGACAAGACGTGTTTTGAGGTGAAATGGAGGATTTCTTGTGAGAACTCCGAAGTTAAACGTGCTTAGGCTGTAGCACTGCAAAGATGGGTGACCTTATGGGAAGTCACCTTAATATGCACCCCAAGGCAAATCCGTGCGGTATTGTCCTTCCTTTCTTGCGAACTTAGCAATTCTTTGCGACCGCGATATTGTCCTTCCTTTCTTGCGAACTTCTGAGTTTCACTAAAGATCGCGGCTTGTGGCAAAAAGATCGTGGTCGAGATCTTTTTCCCTAGACTACGATCTTCTCTGCGTCCATAAAAGGACGATCACGTGAACTGGGCCAATGACCGTGAACAACAAAAGCGAAGCAGTGCGTTTAGGAGATGACACTGAGTTCACGTCACGTTTAGGTGTTCACGGTTGTGAACTGGCCAACGTGTCCGTGATCTGGTCACTTTCGGGCAAATATGAAGACAGTAGCGGGGAGAGAGAAAGGGGAGCTGGTTTTTGGAGAAGGAACACTTTCTTTCTCTATGGTTTCAACCCAAAACACCAAAGGAGAGTTCTAGTGAGATAGGGAATGGTCTTGGAGTTTAATTGAAGGCATTGATCAAGTTTGGAAGCTAGGAATCAAGCCTAGAAGAAGAAGATCTAGAGGTTTCTTTGTAATCTTCCCTCTTCTTTTGGGTTTAAGAACCCTAGGTCTAGTTTTGGTTTTGTTGTTGATGTATGTGACAAAATCCCTAGTTTGATTGTTGATTTACTTAATTGATGGATGTTTTCTTGAATGGCAGGAGTGTGGTTTCCATTTTCATGCTTTGAGCTTTTGACCTAGGAGTGGGATAATCGCCTTAGTGCCCCCCTTTTGTGCGACTTTGGGTTAATCCTATCGTATATTCACCGGGTTGGCCCCGAGGGAGTTGATTCGACCGGTCTCCTAGCAATATAGGAGACCCTAGGTTGAATAGAACACTACCCATCCATTGATTCGCCATTTTCCAGTCATTCCCGAGGGAGTCCATCTCCAAACAATAGTGTATTTGAGTCAATCGAACTAGGAGGATACCCAACATTGATCCAAAGAATGGACCTAGGATGATTCAACCCTAGAGAGCTCCAAACCTTGTAAATAGCTAGGTTAGTGGTTAGCTAGGTTAATTCTTCTAATCACCACCCTAGGTTGGCTAGATATCGAACCCTAAACCTGAAAAAGGATAAGCCTAGATCCCCGTGGTACGATAAATTCTTATTGCTTGCTTGCCCTATGCTACACCCGATCGGCGGTTATAATTGGCCGTCGATTGGGATGTTGTAGTTAGAAGGAGTCATATGCCCGAACCACACGCACTTTTTGAAACTTCTTGAGTGCATGCTTGATTCTTAACTTAAATGATGTTGTTCAAACTCCGAGTTAGGCTCCGGCATTATCAATTGCATTCTCAAGTAACTAGTTCTTGAGCATCACTCTCCTGATTCTGCTGTATAAGAACATGTTACCCTGCATTGTTGGCACTCAATTCTGTTCACTAGGGGTCCAATTCCTGTTCATTTTAAACTATATACGCGTTCATTATGACCTATATTAAAACTCTACAATTTTGTTTGCTTCATGTTAGTCCAGAAATTAATCCCCCCCCCCCTTATTTTTTCGCCTTCAAGCATACTATTTTTGCAAAGTGTGTGTGTGTGTGGTGGTGGTGGGTGGACCCTTGTTTTCTGAATGTGATTTCAACTACTTTGCATTGTTTGATTTTTGAATTCTCAGGGGAAATTACAGAGGAAAAGGGATTGATAGATGAGAGGGTTCGGAGCCTCGATAGAGGCAGTCTCCTCTCTCGGGCATGCTTTAGTACTTACAGAGGAATCAGCGAAGGGAGCGACGAGCTTCCGCATCTTAGACATCTCCAAGACAGGAGGAGCCCCAGCATCATTTAGACCCCGAGCCTCAGATAGAGGAAGAGGGTGAGCTACAACCCCAGAGGATAGCTCCAAGGGAAGTAATGCCCCATGTTGATCACCACTTCCTCCAAGCCATCCCATTATTCTCTCAAGAGCATCTCCAGCGCTTCCATGGTATGGCTATGCGGGAGAGTTAGTGCCTCAACTTGGTACTCTTTGCTCATTTGTGAGTGGCAGACCGGATCAGGGACAGGATTAGAGACCCAGTATTGCTCAGAGTTCTGGAGATCAATGCGAGGGTTTATAGGGTTCTCAGTCTAGAGTTCCTTTGCACCTTATGGACCCAGATCGTCAAGGGAGCCACTAAAGAGGACTACTGTAACACCCTATCCTATACGTATTACCTAATCATATTGTTCATACAATTGCAGCGGAATTAATCTCGGGTGTTACAATAATCATCAAAATTTACCTAAATAAAATTTCGACATGAATTACTCGCGTAATGGGCTAACAGTTCTTGCAACTTATCCTGCAAAATAATTCATCACAAACATATATACTCACAACCATATGCATTGGCTTTCGTAGCCATAGTCACAGTTTCATACTACACAACTGCATATCATACTAATACAAGCCATAATCGTCATAACTTACACAATTACAAAAATATACACATATCATCAACTTTCCACACCTGTGGATATCTCACACTACATTCGAAGCTAGTATGCACATGAAAAACGTTCTCAAAACATTTTTACAAAAAGGTGTGGATCACTGGCCAAAATCCCGAGTAGTAGTCCAAGCACAGAATAGTTGAAGACCATACCTCATCTTGCCTTCAACTCTTGCTCAGCTCCCACCTATACACCTATCTACTGCTGCTGCTGATGATCTGCTTACACATGGCATAAGCTGAGAAAGATGATAAAGAGGGTCAGCTCATAGCTGAGTGAGATAATCATAGCATCGTGAGTTCATAACAGAGCATACCCCTACCATACATCTAGCAAACAAGCCAAAACACTAGGATCGGACCTCAGCCATCCTCATATCCCAATAAGCAAAAGACTCAACCACTTTGACTTATGCATATGCATCTTATCATGTTTTAATCATAGACGCCTGGCTACTCCCATGCTAATAACTCTCCCGGGAAACATACCCCACATCCCGTCGGATGTAGTCATACATACCCCAACATCCCGTCGGATGTGGTCATACATACCCCACACCACTATGGGTGTAGTCACACCCCGACACCGCTCTGGGTGTGGTCATATCTCATAAGAATTCTTCAGTCACCACCACATGAGAGGTGTGACTATCATACATATCATAATAGAGTAATAGCATAGGGAGCCCTAATTACTATGTAGTTGATCGTGAGACCACAACACTCATATTTGGTATCCTTGTACCTGATTCATATCTCATCTTGCTTAACCATAATTCATTACTTGCACATGTACTTGACCAGGCCACAATTGGCTCAACATAGGTAAATCAGGAGTCGTATAGTTGCACTTCCTCGGGATAAACCCTCGTGCAAGTCATCCTCCTTAAAACATCATAATATCACCAGGGAATATATATTTTCCACTTGTACATCCAAATACAACAATCATGAAAAATCATATCCAATCACCTTCTCGAACCATCATAAGACATATTCACAATTAAACCCACATCTGGCAACATATATGGAATCGTCAACATAAACAAGGTCCATATCGATCAGGGCAAGTCAATAATATCATACAGCAATCCAGGGTTCAACATATAGCACAAAAGTTCATACACCCCTAATCATGCCATTCTAGTTCACCTAGATCAATTCTAAGCATCAATATAATTATCGTGATACGACAAACCCGGTATGCCGTGCTAATGCCTCACCAGTTCTGGTCGTTCAAACACCGGTTCTAGCCTCCCGTACTAAAACATCAATTTCACGAACGAACCCCGAATTAAAATCCGAGACCGTCCTAATATCCCCTGCAGTATCCCCGTCAATATTAGTTCTAGGCTCCGGGTCAAATTCTCGATAAAAACACATCAAACCCTGGCCGGAGCTAAATTCAGCGATCCCGACTCCGATCTAAATAATAGCCGAAATTCAGGGATTAGAACTAGGGGATTGATTACCTCGCGGCAGGAAGCTCGTATATGAAATTTGGGATCAATCCGGCTTCCGGATACTCCGAAACCCTAATTTGGCTGATCGGGAATTCAAGAAATTCCTGAACCAAAAACTCGTTTTAAAAATCTAAATCGATAAATCACGATGAATAGATGAATTAGGCATTACTTACGGGATTTTTGGATCACTTATGCTCAAGAATTAAGCTGGAGAATTTTCCCCCGACGTTCCCTGAACTTCGCTTGCTCTGTTACCAAACTGTAACACCCTACCCTATACGTTTTGCCTAATCATATTGTTCATACAATTGCAGCGGAATTAATCTCGGGTGTTACATTAATTATCAAAATTTACCTAAATAAAATTTCGACATGAATTACTCGCGTAATGGGCTAACAGTTCTCGCTCATTCTAGCTAGATGCCTTTGAACTTTTCCTCTCTCGAACTCGCTGCTCTCTGACTGCTCCTCTAGCTAGCTGCTACCGGTCTGGTTCTCGCTCATTCCCTTACTAAGGCCTGGTGAGTGAGTTGGGGTCAGTCTACGCCCTTACGTTTTAAACTTCCTAATAATTTTGCACTTCCTCTCAAACACTTAAACTCAAACTGAGGGAAGTTGTTTGTACTTCCGTTCTGAAAAATCTTAACTCTTAAAACTGTATGGGAGTAACTGTTACTATCTATTCTTAAAGCTTAAATCTCAACTTAAATACTTGACTGACACAAGGATCCCCCCACTAGCTAGTCCGGCTGCCAACTCATACGTATGAGAAGCCATCAAGGCTTTCCTTAAACTTAAACTTAGTTAGGGAAGTCGTAATGATTCATCCCACTAACATCTTAAACTTATCGTGGTGGCTCTCCACCACGATTCTCAAGATCATAACTGCTGCTCATCTTAAATGTCTCAAGAGCATAACTGCTGCTCTATCTCAAAGATCTCAAGAGCATAACTGCTGCTCTATCTGAAAATCTCAAATGGCAACGGACTGGCGCTAGTGACTAAAAACACTTAAAATGACTTCACCTTCTCGAAGGTGAGTTACTTCTTAAAAATACCTTGCTTCTTAAACTTTAACAATAACTTATACTCATAAAATTTTCAAGATAAATAATAATCATTCACTTCAAGTCAGAAGTCAAACAAGGCACATATCATCAACCATAATCATAAGCAAGCACACAATTTCACATAAAACAACTTCTTAAACACGCAAGGCATATATTTGAAAAATACGTAAGGCGTAGAATTTACCCCCTTTACACTCACCTTACTTCTGTCGGAACTGGCTCTGATTTTTGCTCCAACGATTTCATACTCGCTTCCAAAATAATAGGCCACTCCTACTTGCTTGAATAAAATGGAGCAGCTTGCTTAACAACGGACCAGCTTGCTTCGGTGGGGATGGCAATAACAACGGACCAGCTTGCTTAACAATGGACGCGCTTGCTTAAGCTAGCAGCTCTCGGGTGTGGAAGCAAGCTTCTCTCGTAGTAGGATTGGTATGGACATGTGATCGCGCCCTCCGCCAATGGTATGTCAATGGCAACCCTAGATGCTGTCCTCTCCGCTCCCACTATGAGACTCTCCTAACAAAGTGACAACTTCCTCTTCCACTTCGTCTCCTGGAACTTTGGCAATGTTGCGAATTCTAGGCCAATTCAATAAATGCCCTCGAATTCTACTCTCAAGAACAAAACAGTATTGGGAAGGAACCCGAACTGCTGCTATGTCGAACACCCTATTAAAAGACTCTTTATCAATCACACTATCACCGTCCTCTTCTTCCTCTTCCTTGCTCTTACACTGATAAGAACGATGTTGCTGGAGGCTGCGTGAGGCTTTGGCGGCATGATTGGTGAAGTTGGTGAAGGCTTTGGCGGCATGTTGCTGGAGGCTGCGTGAGGCTTTGGTGGCATGAGAGGTGGGGGAGTAATTGAGGGCCGCTCGGCCCTCTACGTTTATATGCATAATTTTTTTTAGGTTATAGTAATAATAATAATAGTTATTATTATTAGACCTAATCCCCGGTTGTAACTCTTTGTACATAACCGTCAATCCAACCGATCACGTACTAAGGTCGAACCTGAACCCAAAATTCAGGGTGTTACATTTCCTCCACCCTTATAAAAATTTCGTCCCCGAAATTTGATCGGCTTATCCTTTCATACTCCTCATTCTCGTGCTTCTTTGGCTCAAGATTTCACTCTTTCTGTATGAACTTCAATGGTGTTCCCTTACCTTGTCTTGAATAGCTTACGATAGTTCTTATATGTACTCTTGACCACAATATATATTCTCGTCTAGCTTGGTAGCATCGAATAGGTTTGAGTGACTCATTGCCCTTTTCAAAGTTTTCCAACTTGGGCCTAGTACTTGATGTTGAACCTATCGAAGTCGAGGTATCACATTTTCCTATCGAAGTTGAGGTATCACATTTCCTCCCCACTTATAGAAATTTCGCCCTCGACATTCGTCCACTATGATTATCCTAAGCATCGCTTGTGGTAATCCTTTTCACTTCGAGGATTTGTATTTCCTTTAAATTATACGACGTGACCTAAAATCCTTCTCTCCATTCCCTGCAACTTCAATGTTGTTGTGGCTTCTTAACCCCTCACATGACCTAGGCTGCACATTGGACATATGTCGGAACGATACCTATCCCTTATTCGGTATATGAGAAGGTACTGCCCCTCTTCAACTTCATGGTCATTGATGACGGCTTATCCCCTATTCAGTCAGATGGTAGAACTCCTTTAACATAACTCTCGTCCGGGGTTGATCTCGTAGATCACCTAGGTCCTTGTATCTCTTAACTTTGTATTTCTTACTTTCTTCCTTAATGCCTCATCTTATCCATTAACCATAAACCGAATGGTCACCTTCTCGTTACTTGCTTCTTAGTGCTGGAACCTCATACTACTGCTTCGACTTTCTGTATGCATTAGAGGCATCCTTTGCATCTTTCTCTAGCATGCGATCAATTTTATGACTTCTTTCCAGAATCATGACCTTCCATTTTGAGTAATTTTTCACTCATGGCGCCTAACTTAACACTTCCTTATCACCGTTTGCCTGGGAGTTCTCGTACGATCTCTTCTATTGTTCTTTGACCTTGCCTGAAATTCCTCGTACAGTTTCCCCGTCCAAGAAATTTTCACTCGAGGAATCGCCACATTTCACCCTCATAGGTGGTATTGCTTTCGCTTTAGGGTATCCTAGCAGATTCGCTAAACTCATATCCATCTTACTTCTTTACTCATGACTCATCTTACCGATGTCTCTCACTAGTTCTATATGTCCCTCGTCCTCGATGTAGTCATCTTGGTGCCCATATTCTCTTCTCACTTACGTACCTTGACCGATAAGGTACCATTGAGCTTCTCAGTTCTTGATGGGCTTCCTATGGTCCAACTTATTCTCCACTGACAATCACCTTAACGCCTCCTTGTTGACCTTCGTATTCTTTCGCCGGCTCTTCCTAACTATCTTTCTCCCTGAATTTGCCGTTTCATCAACTACCACGCTTTTCACCATAACTTTCATTATAGCTTGTGGTTTCCTCCTTACTTCCACAACTCCTTCATCGATGCTTGGTACTAGCTTTGATCTACCCCATTTAGTAGCTCCTAGCCATACCTCAGATTCAACATTTCCACTAGAAACTTTCTTTAGGTAGACTTGGCAGATGACACCCACGACTTCTACTCACGATGGTGCTTGACCACGTCCCAACTATCTTCCTTCACACATCATTATCCGGTCGACAACCACTTTTATTTTGTTTTATTTCCTATAGCGTCCTATGGTGTTCTCCTTGCTTCTTTACTTTTACTACCCTTCTGTTGGTGCTTTGTACTATTTTCGGTCACCAAACTCTGTTGAGTATCTTCTCGTTGTTGTTTTGGGTCAAAGCTTCCAATAGTGGCTTGCCCTTGGTAGGCTTGAACATACCTCATCCACGTCTTTTGTCTCGATCGATGCTTGTACATAGCCTTAATCTCTTAGTCGTGGCTCTTAGTGGCTTAACTAAATATCACTAATTTATCCTTAACTAGCCTTCTTTTATGGATGACATCCTACTATGTCGTACTCGCTCAGAGTGGGGCAACTTGGGTAAGGTAACTTAATGATTTCCTCCTTCTTGGTAATGCTTTTCCTCGTCGTACTCCACTATGCATTTTCTTGAACACGAGTCACCTACACATATTCTCAATCCTTCATCGGAACTTCCATGTGTTTCCTCGAATTCTCTGCCATTCGCTAGAACATTTATTGAACATTCCACTTACTTGTCTATACTCGGTTAGCTTAATGACTTACTCTATAGCTAGTTCCGAGACCTCAGCTCTTAGCCCTCTAGTTCCAACTTAGTAGAGAGGTTCCTCCTTATGTCACCCCTCATGTACCCTAAGAGGCTAGGTGTTCCCTCTATTTAACAGAGGACAATCCCATAACAGATCATCGTGAACTCTTGCATTCCCCTTTCAATGGTCTCAACGACCTCCAGACCTTTGATGATCAGGGTGGTTTGTAAAGTCTCTAATATCCTTTTCCTAACTCGGTGCTATCTTGGTATCCAACTCACGCACTGCTGAGAAGTGGTTCTCTATTCGTACTGCCATCTACTAGCTAACTGTTATTCCCCCTCACATTCCATGTCCTTTCTTATGTATTGACTCCCCACTGTCTTCTACCAGGCATGCTTTAGACTTTGGTGGCACCTTCCTCCACGTCTCGTCCAATGGTGGTCGTACTGAGACCATAACTTGTCCTCTACATCATTTGTCTCGTTGCTTCTCTTGTTCCTTCTAAAGGGTTTTCATCGGGCCAACTCCTCAGGGTAGTGTACCCTCTTCTCTAGTGACGTAGTTTATCTATAAGGGTCCTTTATCGTTATATGTAAACGACCAGGCCTCCTTTCCGCCTTAACCTATTAACTTCTTGACGTCCTTTCGTACTCCCTGTAACCTACTTACTCCTCCTTTAGTTCATTTATACTACTCTAGCTTTGCTTAAAGTCTAACTTTCCCCTACTCCTTATCACCGCGTTGTAATAACATCGGCCACTAAAACCAATCGAGTGGTGTCTCTTCATTTTCTTCATCGTTTCCTCCTTGCCGCTTAGGGTCAAGTATCCTCAAATCCTCATTGTTGCTAATGACGCCCTATACTTCTCGTTGTAAGGCATTAACCTCATTGAACCTAGATCTTGGTCCAATGATGACCACGTAGGTCACTAAGGAACTTCTACCTTCCAAAATCTGCCTCGTGTCTTGAGATTCGACTTGAGTAGGCCACGTTTCTTGCCTTCTTCCTTTCACACTGATGATCGCCATCCGCCTTAATATCTAAGTTTATGTACCAAAACCTGCTAGCTAAGTCGCGTCCTAACATCATCTTAAACCAGTAGCACCCTCGTGTTACCATCTCTTCTTGGCTTGATAGATCCTCCACTTTTTGCCTAGTTGTAAAATCCTCGGGGTATTCCCTTACAATTTGCACCTCTTCTTCTATAACTATAGTTATTTACCTTAATACGATTAGAGTAAACTGGAGATTCTATAGACTCTTAAAAGAAGATCCTTGACTCATTTTCCTTTCCTTTAAAACAAAACCTTTAAAAACTGAGACCGACATTCCAGTATTCCTTGGGAACCAAGGAACAGAGGAAGAACGGCTCTGATACCAAAATGAAACACCCAAACCCGGTCGGGTACTACTTTTACTAAAATGCCCTTGATAAATAAAATACTCAAATCTTAAATTGCAGCGGGTAAAATTTTCAAAAATAAAATACTGAAAACACACTTGTAGCTTAGAGCAAAGCCCTAACACTGGGCAAATTAAACTCAAACTTTAAAATCTCAATCTGATCTCCAGTCTATACTCATAATCATAAAATGTAAATAACTGATAATCTCTAATGTTGTTTCTACTAAAACCTTGGCTAAGCATCCTCTGTGACGCTTATACTGCCCTCCTCTAGCTGGCTGCCCTTGAACTTTTCCTCTCTCGAACTCGCTGCTCTCACACTGCTCCTCTAGCTAGCTGCTACTGATCTGCTCCTCGCTCATTCCCTTACTAAGGCCTGGTGAGTGAGTTGGGGTCAGTTTATGCCCTTACGTTTTAAACTTCCTAATAATTTTGCACTTCTTCTCAAACACTTAAACTCAAACTGAGGGAAGTTGTTTGTACTTCCGTTCTTAAAAATCTTAACTCTTAAAACTGTATGGGAGTAACTATTACTCTCCATTCTTAAAGCTTAAATCTCAACTTAAATACTTGACTGACACAGGGATCCCCCCACTAGCTAGTCCGGCTGCCAACTCATACGTATGAGAAGCCATCAAGGCTTTCCTTAAACTTAAACTTAGTTAGGGAAGTCGTAACGATTCATCCCACTAACATCTTAAACTTATCGTGGTGGCTCTTCACCACGATTCTCAAGAGCATAACTGCTGCTCATCTTAAAAGTCTCAAGAGCATAACTGCTGCTCTGTCTCAGTGATCTCAAGAGCATAACTGCTGCTCTATCTGAAAATCTCAAATGGCAACGGACTGGCTCTAGTGACTAAAAACACTTAAAACGACTTCACCTTCTCGAAGGTGAGTTACTTCTTAAAAATACCTTGCTTCTTAAACTTTAACAATAACTTATACTCATAAAATTTTCAAGATAAATAATAACCATTCACTTCAAGTCATAAGTCAAACGAGGCACATATCATCAACCATAGTCATAAGCAAGCACACAATTTCACATAAAACAACTTCTTAAACACGCAAGGCAGATACTTGAAAAATACGTAAGGCGTAGAATTAAACCCCTTTACACTCACCTTACTTCTGTCAGAACTGGCTCTGATTTTTTGCTCCAACGATTTCATACTCCCTTCCAAAATAATAGGCCACTCCTACTTGCTTGAATAAAATGGACCAGCTTGCTTAACAATGGACCAGCTTGC